ATTGATGACTAGGACAACCATCACACTAGGAAAATGACTTCATCTTCCTTAACCTTGGCCCCTCTTTGTAAAGCAGAGCTAGAAGGCACACCTTACTCAGATAACATGAAGATAGTGAAATGATGTATGTGACTTTGACAAGCAGTCAGAGATAAGTACATGATAGTTATTCTCAACATTATAAGTATCTTTCATTGAGTCTGGAGTGATGACTTAGTGGATAAGAACACTTGCTGATCTTGCAGAGGGCCTGGGTTCAATTCTTAGCACCTACATGATAGCTCACAACCTTCTGGAACTCCAGTTCCAGAAAAGCTGATGCTCTCTTACCTCCACAGGCTCTGCATGCATGTGATGCATCTAAATACAGGCAAAGCATTCATACACATAAAAATAATAATTTTAATTGAAAGCATTTTTCATGATTTCCCAGAAATATTGCATTTGGACTATTGACCATTTAATATACATTTATTGAGGGTACCAGATCCATACTACGTGCAGAAATGGGATGTATAATTGCATCTGGAAAGGAAGCCATGCTTGTTCATCACCACCTCTCTGATGCTAAGTTCTATCACAGGCATTGGGGGAATATTATTTAATTTAATCTTGATATGATTATCATTCTAGGGATGGAGACATGGAAGTTCAGCAAGGTTAATACACCAAAGATATGGCCAATGATTGAATTTTGACCTCCCACCCTTAAATAAACCGAGCTGTTCTCAGATAAAGTCTCCCCTGTTGAGAGACCCATGAGTCGACAGTGTCTGTTATGGTCCATGGGAATGGTGTTGAGTCCATCTTCATCATTACAGATCTCTGAGATGTGACAGATCTTTCACTTACATAATTGCAGGTGATGAGCCTAGAGGAACATCTATTCATTCTGAGCCATTCAGAATATTCTCTAACCTTATTTGGGACTAGAAGCAGGGGATGAGAAGGTGACCAGCAAGGGATCCTATTTGATTGTCCCAAGGTATGCTTTGCAAGTAATTTTGTTCTTTCTTAAACAAGTGTCAGCTGTGAGTTTACCTATCAGACTTGTACTTTTAACACCTCTGTCTATTGAAAGCCAAATGTGTCATGTCCTCCTGTGAACTGGGGTTTACCCTCTTTCCACTTTGGTAGTTTGAAACTAATTACAGACCATGTGTTGTACTTATATATGCAATGAATGTTTAAGCCAATTAATGTAATAACAAAAAGGAAATGTGAGGAAAATCTTTCTTTCCATTATCTAAAGATTTCAGGCATATGAGGTGTTTTGATTTTTTTTTAATACAGCAAATTATGTGAAAAACCAGCCACCGGCTTTCATTTTTGTCTATGTAGGAACAATTAATTTTTTTTCAGAGGGGAGACAGCCTGCCCCAAGACTTCTTCTGTGGTGGTGCATGTCATTCTTGGAGCTCTTGTCATAGAATGTGTGCCTGCCTGGGCAAGCAGGTGTGTCACAAAGGATGGCTCAAAACAAAAAGCTCCTGGAGTACTGACAATCAGATTCCAAAAGAAGATTTCTGTTCATCTTACTCCTTCATTCCTTCTCCTTTTTCCACGTCCTGAACCTCATCCCCACCATGCCTCACAGCTCATCATTTACTCCCCTTAGGGCTCCACCTACGATCTCCCTTGTCCAAGGGTAAGCAGTAGATGGACAGACCTGTTCTCCTTAGGGAGACTGAACACACACTCAGAGACCTCTACCAGGAGTCCTCTTCCCTAACATTCTCATGGTCCATACTTAGTGCATTGCATCGCTAAACACATGTCGTTTGTCTGAGATGCAGTTCTTTACCTCCTGCCCAGTCCTCAGTGAACATCTCCTGCCTTTCACCTCACTTCCCTCTAGCTAGCTTTTCTCCCCACTACTCGTCATAGACGCCTATAACATGAGTGCATATATATATATATATGCACTCGTTGTATATATACATTGTTGTATGTATACATGCCACATACCCCTCATCTAACATAGAGCATGTGTATTAGTGTAGGAATCTTCCTTTTTGTAGATTTATGTTTACAAAAGTAGGCGAAGATAATGTAGAGACTTCCTGTAAAACAGACAACACCCAGTTTCCCTTAATATTAAAATCTTAGTGAGAGTGTTGCATGGGTTACAATTAATTATATAAGATTGATGCATTATGGTTAGCTAAAGTGCATACTGTGCAGTTTTACCTTGTGTGCTTTTCAATGCTCCAGCATCACATTCCAGATACTGAAATGGTGCATTTAGCAAACCGACTTAGTTCCTCTGGTTTCTCTCATCCTGATCAGACATTCTGTAGAATATATTTCATTGGGAATTCACTGGATATCATGCTCATGATTCCACTGGAGTTTTGATTTGTTGGGAAGAACCCCCCTAAAACAAAAGACCATTCTTACCGCATTGTATCTACATACCACCATCAATACAACTCATCCTCCCAGTCACCGGAGTTGCCAGGTTCTCCACTTCTAGTTCTTCAGGGCAGCCCCTTACTCTCCCACACTGTGACTGGGATTGTTTCACATACTGGGGATGTATTTACTTTCTCACATACTGTAGTCTGGCACAGGACCCCTACGTCCTAATTTTTTTTTTATTTGCCAGTATTAAATTTCACTGTTGTACTACACTGTTCAGTGGTTTTGACAAATGCCTACGATGCCGTGTAGGTACAATTACAGTATGATATAGATGACTTTTACCACCCAGTGAAGCAAACAGCTCCTAAACTTCACCTGTTTAACCCTCCCTCTCTTCCCCTGAGTTCCTGGCAACACCCATATCTTTATAGTTCTGCCTTTTCCAGAACATCATGTGCTTAGAATTGTGGGGCATTCGACCTTTCTATGTGTGCTTCTTTCACTTAGTAATATACATTTATAACTAATCTATGTCTTCAAGTGCCTTAGCGGTTCTTTATTGCTAAATATTGCTTCATTGTATAGCTGTACATTGGACTCCTGAAGAACACCTAATGTGGGTGATTATAAATAAAGTACTTGGAAATTTCACATGAAAGTCAATGGGTTCACAATTATTAAAAAAAAAACAGTTGTGTAAACAGCTAGAAGCATGATTGCTGGGTTGTGTGGAAACAATGTAGTTAGCTTTGTGGTAAATACCAAATCTTCTTGCAAAGTAACTCTACTGTTTTGCTTCTCCCAGGCCAAGAAGGGGAAGTCATGCCTTCCCACATCCTTTCCTTGTTTGCCATTATCGTGCATGCTTTTGTACTTCCCTGTCCTAGGAAGTGTGCAGCTGCTTATTTATGATACCTGAGTTCCAATTCCCCAATGAGATGGTATTGGGTATCTGAACAGGCTCCTTTGCCTTGGGTTATCTACTTTAAAAAATATATTCAATATATTGCACATTTCAACTGGGATGCTTTTCTCATTCTAAAGTTTTAGGTGTTCTTTATATATTTGGAGTAGAAATTCTTTGTGAGGTATATGTTTTCTTCAATTCTGTAGCTCATTGTTTCCTTCTTTTAAGGTAATACCTCCTAGAGCAGTTTGTAAACTTTAGAGATCCAGTTTTTCCATGTTTTTCTCTCATGGATAATGGTTTTGGCATCCTATGTATAACTTTATTGCCCAAACTAGCTCCCCTCAACCTTTACATTGCTGTAGTGATTTTAATGAGAGATGCCCCACACATGCTTGTGTGTTTGAATACTTGGTCTCCAGTTGGTGGCACTGTTTGTGGAGACTAAGGAACCTTTAGGAGGTTCAGCCTTGCTGGAGGAAGAGCATTCCTGGGTGAAGACTTTGGGGGCTGATAGCTTCGCCCCACTTCCTGCTTCCAACTTTTTCCTGTGTGTGCATGAAAATGTGACCTGCCAGCTTCCTGCACCTGTTGCCATACCACGGTTTCTGCTCCAACACTGTAAGCTAAAACGAACCCTTTCTTCCTTGTAATATTTTATCACAACAACAGATATGTAGCTAACATGATCTTTGCATTTTGCCGTTTTGTCTCATAGGGATATATTTGTCAGCCATTTTGAGTTATTTTTGTTAATGGCGTCTTTCAGTGGCTAGGTTCACTGTTGCTGCACTTTGATGTAGAAACTGTTGAAAAGATTTCCTGCATCCTCTGGATTCCATTTACTCCTGTATCAAAGGGCAATTGACTCTTTATGTGGATCTGCTTGGGGCTCACTGTTATCTATCTATTCTTCACCAAGTTCCCTCTTTCCTGGTTATTGTGGCTTAATAGCAAATGTCATTAGCATCATGTTGATTTACCTAAGTTTTGTTTGTCTTCCCATGTCATTTGTTTGACAGGGTCTCATAGAAAGTGTTGTGACCTGGGACTCTCTATGTAGCCCATGGTGGCCTTGAGCTCACAATCCTCCTGCCTCAGCCTCCTGATACTGGGTCTGCAGGTGGGTACCACCACACCTGACGTTGATAATCCTATTAGTGATATTTACAGACTACCTGTTGAGAATTCATTGGATTTTGTGGTTTTCTGTTGATCCGGTGGAGACATTAGTTTCTTTAACATTGTGTGTCTAACCCTGTGAGTACAGACGGGTCCCTCTCCGTATCCTTGGTTCTTCTCTCATTTCCCCGTCACATTTCTGAAAGATTCCCCATCCTGAGTCCCTGTGGTTTCTGCAGCTTGCAGTTGTACTCAGGATTTTCTTTCCCTTAGACAATCAATTGAAGTCTGAAATTGCATCTGTCATGGTTCATAGGTCTCTTCTTCCTTGCAGTTGTCAAGTTTTGTGTCATGTGCACTGGCATTCTGTGAATACATGCACCCTGATGATTGTTTCAGCTCTTGGAGAATTTACCATCACCAATTGCCACTTACCATTATATAATTACCATTGAATAAATCTGTCTTTGTCCTCAGAGTCTTTTTAATTTATAGAACTATATCAACCCACCCAGTGCAAGCAAGGCTGACTCTCCCAGGATGAAAGGGTTTTCCAAAGACTTGCATGGGGGGCTGAGCATCTCCAGGTATTTGAGCTGAAGAGTAGTGCAAACAAAGCCCTTCTCATTTTTATTATCAAAGCAAGCAAAACATGAGAAGATGGTTTGTATGTAGTTTAAGTAAATATAAGTACAGTGAGGGATTACACCTGGTGTTATGTTTTACCACCTTTGGCCATATGAAAAGAGCCAGGAATATTCCTCCCAGGCCTTTGCCTTTCCCACAGATATACTGTGGGCATGCTAGGGTATTTCCTTCATGTCCTTGTTTTCAAGTTCATTCAGTTGTCACAGTTTATGCAATTCCCACCTTGTGGGAAGAACATGGTGCACTCTGCTTCATTTATAGTTCAATGCTTTCTTACACTGGCTCCCACACTACTGCAGCTCTGCTTTGAGTGGCATGCAATATCTGTAAGTCTTTATATTTACAGCATATCTCCAATAGGCCTTGCTTGTTCCCTAATTGACTGTGGGAATCTCTTAACTAATATATTCATGCCATTAACATTTAAATAGATTACTGGTACAGATGGATGAATATGTACCATGTAGTAACTCTTATATTTGCTGTATTCATTATCCCGCCATGTTTTATGAGGCAGGATCTTCCTATTTCCCCCAAGCTGGCCTCAAAATTACAATCTTTTTACCCTGATCTATAGAGTATAGGGATTACAAGTATGTGCCACCAAACCCAGAATTTTTATTCCTAATTAACTCAAACTTGTATCTATCTATCTATCTATCTATCTATCTATCTATCTATCAATCTATCCATCCATCTATTATTTATTTGGGATAGTAAGGTTATGTTGCCCACTGGGTCTCAATCAGACTTCTTGGCTGAAGCAGTCCTTTTGCACAGCTTCAATAGTGGCCAAAATTACAGTCCCATGCCTTCCTGGCCACACTGAACCCTTCTTCATTTCTTCTCTTCAGCTGTCACTGAAATGTCTCTGCTCATCCATGGTTCCAGTAGCTTCTTGTCCTGGCAAGATCTAGCTGTAACTGGATTCTTCTGTCTCCAGATTTTAGGATGAGAGTTTGCCTTTAACCTCAGTTTTCTTCCTAACTCAAGTAAAGTCTGTGTTTGGTACTTTGTTGGCTTCTTCTCTTGTCTGTATTTCATGTGTTGGAGCTACAACTAGCAGTCTCTTACTTTATTTCTTTACTGTTGTCCTGACGACACCATATTTCAATATATGCATTTCCTAATGGATTTCTAGATTTTCCCTGCTACAAAGTAAACTTCTGGAAGTAGGTCCTAGGTCTGTTATAGTCATGGCTGTATGACACAGAGTAGGTGCTAAGTAATATTGATTATATGGGCTAATGAGTGTGCAGGCATTCATTGAGAACACTGTTAACTAGGTGTGAAGATTCAATCAAAACAGAAACATGTCTACAGTTACTACAGGGTCTTGTAAGCTATATGTAATCTTAAAAACAGAAATAAAGAGCCGGGCATTGGTGGTGCACGCCTTTAATCCCAGCACTCCGGAGGCAGAGGCAGGTGAATCTCTCTGAGTTTGAGGCCAGCCTGGTCTCCAGAGCGAGTGCCAAGATAGGCTCCAAAGCTACACAGAGAAACCCTGTCTCGAAAAACAAAAAAAAATAAAAATAAAAATAAACCCAAAAAACTCAGAAATAAATGTTAAGGACATGACAACTAACATGACTGACAGAGGGGTAAAGTATTTCAGAAAGGAATCTATGTGAGTTAAATTGTATAGAATGAGCTTGGCTTATGTGAAGGAGAATGACCCAGAGAAGGGACCTCACAGATCTGTTGAACAACGTGTCTTACAATGCAGAAAGTGGCTTACTTCAGCTACCTCCTGTAACATTGTTCTCTGAGAGGCATATCACTGTTAATTCATTTCACATCAGAAAACCCCGCCTTAGATACTTTGAGTGGGCAAAATGTCACTGGTGCTGAGCAATGGGGTAAGTCAAGATGAGTCAGGCAGGACTCAATGGGGTCTAAGGAGCCGAGCACACTGTGGACCTCCTCCATTATTCCAAGCCCCCCTTTGAGTGTGCTGCCATTGTTCACTGCTCGTGTAGACTTTAGCCTTGTCAGTAGTAGGATGAAAATCAGAGCTGCCTTGCAAATGCCCACAAAGCCACTAGGGGATTGAGTTTCCTCAAAGAAGGCGGAAAAGAAAAATAAATGTGGGCTTCTGCTCTTGCAACCTCAGCCTAGTGAGCCAGGCTTTCCCGGAATGCTGCAGGCAGCTTCAAAGGCCCATTGTGGAAAGCTTCCAGATGTGCATGGTAAGCCTCATGGGGGAGCGTCCCAGTAAAGAGGCTTTGTAGGCCTGAGCTGAGATGAAGGGAGTTGATGTGATGAGTCCTACCAGGTGGGCTTTATTCTGAGGGAGTGCAGACTCTAGCATGAAGGAGAGATCAAGAGAAGTTACCCAGTTCAGATACCTGAGCCAAACAGCCCTCCTCTTTGGTTACAGACAGCAATGGTTTTTGCTGGAGGGGGACAGAAAGGCATTCCCCCAAGCACTTATCTACCTGCAAATTGCTTGTGACAGTCTCTTCATTCCTTCAGAATATCTTGGAGTTCTTGGGAGGGGTTTTAGTTTGGAAAAAGGGCAACCATGGACAAAGAGAGTCCATTCTGAGGATATAAAAACCAAAGCCCTCTGATCTGTGCTCTGATTCCATGCCTCAAATATCACTTCTTCAGATAGCCAAAGCTCGATGCCCCATTTTCCTTTCATTTGACAGGGAAAGTAAGAGCGACCTGGGTTTAAATTTCTGGAGCCTGTTTCCCCATCTGTAGAGGGCAATGATGGGCCCCAAACCATCCTCCTGTGAGAAGGAAGGGCTGCACACAAACATCTGGCACAGTGCCTGGTCCAGAATGAGGGTGCAGACTGTTCTCACTGCTCTTTAGTCCAGTTGTTCAGGCAGGCGGGGCCGGGACCAGTTGGCCTTTAAATTTTACTCTGTGGCTCTTTAAATCCTCCCCGTGTGTTCATATGCACTTAGCTAAGTATTTTGAGATTGGTGTATTTAGGGGAAAGTCCTCTTGTCTACAGCTAAAATTAGGCCTCTCTTTGCTCCTCTGTTCGTCAGCCCCCATCCAATTTTAACAAATTAAAAGCATTGACACTCAGCAAGGCTTGAGAGAATTTGGGTGAGCAGCTGGGAGTTGCTCTCCGTGCCAACAGCTGTTGCCTCTCAGCAGGCAGGCAGCAGAGTAGTCTGGTGCCCAGTGGGGAGAACAGGGAGGGTGCCTTGAAGAAGGATACAAAATGTGTCCATGGTGGAGCCCTCTGAGCAGGCTGCAACCTGCATCATCGCATCCTCTGCCTTCTGCCAAAAGAGAAGGGGATGAAATAGCTAATGGAAAAGAGGACAGCAGGAGAGGAAGGCATAACGGGTAGCCAACTCATAGACAAACCACTGTCACTCACTCCTACCTAGACGCCAGTATTCACCCTGCTAAAGTGGAGAAGCCATGGGACAGTGTAAGGTCTGTGTCCTAAAACATTTTCATTCGGTGTCTACTGTGGAATCTATGGAAAGTACTAAATTCCTCATGTAGTCCAAGGTGCCCAGATGTATCCTGCCCTCCCACCTGGCAATCACTCCAGCTTAGCCCCACCGCCTTTGTTTATTCCCTTCACTTCTCTAGGCTTTCTCTCCTGGAGCTTAGGCTCCCTGAGTTTAGTCTGGATTTCTCCACCATTCAGTTACATCCTGCAGGCTTCTCTCCATGTCTCCCACTCCGGCCTTGTAAATCAGCTGTGTTCTCCCTGAATATCCTGTCCAGAGCCAGCATGCACTCTACCACTCCCAGAAAAGGGCTTAAATGGTTCCCAAAAACCTCAGATTCTGTGTGTAAGGGCTTAGTATTTTCCCATGGCCTGGTGTCTTTCCTCTGTGACATACGATTTTTGTGTTCCTATTCCCACCTCAAGAAACTGAGAGATGCCTTAATGGAAACTTGTGAAGCTAAGATAACTGTGTTGAGTATCCAGAGGTGGCATTTAAACTTGCTGGCTGTCTGCTGCTTTAAAAAGAAAGAGGAAGAAAAATCACATCTCAGGTGTGAGTGCCAGGTCATATAGCACCAAAAAGGACAGATTCACCTCTCCCTGAATAATTGGGTTAGACTCACATGACTAGTTGACATAAGCTTTGCTACTCTATGAGAGATTTTGAAGCATGACTCCTCTTGATATTATTTTCAATGTTGTCCTCTGAACTGGATGAGGAGAAGCTGAAACTGTCACTCTTGTTCACTCTCATGATCCTGTAGGATGAGGGAGGCAGCTCTGTGCAAGCGGCTTCCTTATCAAATCTTCAGTGTTCTTCACAGTGGGTCATGAACCTAAGACCAGAAACCCAAGAGGGAGTCCATCATCTCTGATGGCTTTTTTCTCTTCCTAATACCTTCTTTTGGTCCATCACCATATGCCTGTGGTCAGCTTTCAGCATACCTTTCATGTCTGGATATTATGAGAAATACCTCATTGCCCCCTGCACCTCCACACATAGCCCCCACCATGCTGAACATGCCAGGGCACCAGAGTGCAGGAGCTGTAACTTATTGGAGCTCTTGGGAGATGTTAGGTCCCCATAGTGCAGCCCTGTCTCCCCAACACTTGCTCTCACTCTGGCTGCCCTAAGCATTGCCCTTTTCATTGCTCTAGTGTTGCTTTCAGCCCACACCCTTCAACCCCAGTCTATTCCCTCCTTGGATAGATGCATGTTCTCTACCATCATCTGTTCATGCCCGTGCATCCTTGGAATCTCACAGAAACATACAATAGGAGACATCTGAAGTCCAGGAATGCTAAGGTCCTCCCCTGGACTCTGAGGGTTCCAAAACAGCCCCTTGTGGATATGGGATTCCCATTACTCTACCTGATCACTTCCTGTGGGGGCAGAAAGGATCTTGGTAAACAGTAGTGGGGTTACCTCTGCTATGCTGTTCTTCCTCATACCTCCAGAAAAAGTGGACAAGGAGAGTATGGTGACAGAAGCAATTCTTATCCTGCCCCTGCCTCTTACCCAACAAACATCTTGGTAATGTGGCAGACGGGTTTGTCTTTTATAAATAAGCTAAGTCAAGTGTTCCTGCCCAGGCTGCAAATAGCCTAACCAGTCTGTTGGCCTATCCCAAAACATTCCTTAAGAAAGCTTTTGTTGTTTTGACTTTTAAAATGTGGTGTACAAGATGGTGGCAAGAACCTTTCAAAGTGATTGGGAGATGTTTACACACACACACACACACACACACACAGAGAGAGAGAGAGAGAGAGAGAGATACTAGCCACTACCCTTCCATGCAAATATCCACACTCCTTCTTTGGCTGATATCTGGTCCCCACTGAATCCTGTGCAGCCCTCCTCAGCTTCTGAGAAAGCTCTACAGTCCAAAACTGAAATCCCAGGGTTTGTACCAGACAATCTCCTTATTATCAGTGAACATGTCAGCTTCTCTCCTCTACCTTACATGATGGCATTGTCACCACTGACCTGATCGTGTGGAGAGGCCAACGTTTATGAATGTGTGCTTTATGCAAAGAATCAAGCTAGCAATTACTGATATTCCTGCCATCCTTACCATTAGGAAGACCTTGCCCCTGTTTTAGAAAAGGCAGGCTTAGAAAAATTAATAAGAGACCACAAAATACTGTCAAAACCAGGTCTCCCCAGAGGTCATTATGTCACACTCAGCACAGTCATAGGTGTACTGTAGAGAAGGGATTTGAAATGGCTTTGTAAAAACAGTAAGTGCAGCTCATCCTGTTTTGTTCCTCTATCTCAGAATACCTGAGATGGGATTCCCCTAGGATGCCTCTCCTGCACATACCTCTGCTCATGGGGCTGGACAGAGAAAGCCTATCCCAGCACTTAGAGCAGTGATCTGTGAGATCCAGAACAAGGAGATGAGGACAGCAGGCATGGGGAGGGTCGCACAACATACCTAATTCAAAGCATTTACAAGTGAGGAGAGGAACCAGCTCTGGGGTTTCCTGCTTCTTTCCACAGATTCATTCAAAGCAGATAAATCCCCCTGTAAGGGAAAGAAAAAAAAAGCCACCTCTTTGAGAACATTAATTTTGTTCTCATCTAGAAGCCATGCTGAGTTACACTAAAAGTAATGGCATTTAAAAAAAAATATTCTCAGGGAAACTCCCAGCTGAACACACAAAAATGATGGTCCCCAAGGAACAGTGTAAGGATTGTCTGAAGGGATCAACATTGGTGAGATTACAGAAATCATAATATGTGAATAAATGAACAGATGGAAGACATCAACGAAGCTCTCTCCTTCTTCCCATATGTAAACCCAGCCTTCGCCTAAAGTCCTTAAGTAAATGCAGATGTAGCCGAACCCAGGCACCAGATGGCAAACAAGCACTGGACCAAGAGGTAAAGAAAGCTCTCAGTGTTTATTCAAAGATGGGGAAAGTCATAATCCACAATGCTGTGGTGTTCTCAGAAGGGCAACCGCCGGTCACATAAGCCCAATGTGACCAAAACAGTAACAACAGAATTTATAACAATTGTGATTTGCTGTAGGAAAGCCACTACCATTTTATGTGACCGGAATCTGATGTCAAGAGTTGTAACTTTGGGACATGAAAGCGACATTTAAATCAAAGGAGTAGGACCACAGGGGCAGGGAAGAAGTAGAATCGGCCTTTGCTCTGCATGACCGAGTACCGACAGCTTTGAAGCATGGTCTCATCTAATTGTCTGCACCATGTATTAGGTACTGGGAAAATTCTGTGAGGGTGCTTCATATGGATCTAGAGATGTTGGGTCCCTGGATCCCACCCGGGGATGCCTGCCTAGCTATCATTAGTCCTTCCCATTCACCCTTTGCATTCTCAACTTTGTGGTTTTGTGTGGTTGGAATCCATGACATTTGACAAAGGAAACAGTCCCCAAAGACTCTGTTCAGTGGTCATTGTCAAAGCACTCACCATATGCTACGCATGTGGGAAGACACACAGGTTCTGCTAAGAATGAGGCCCCGCCTTACCTCTTCTGCCCTTTCTGCCCAAACCAATAGGACTGAGGACAGTGTTAGCTAGCCAGGTACTGCCTTGGGGTCAGAGTAAACATACTGGGGGGGGGGAGGCATAGCAGAGCGTGACTGGGTTTTCTGAAACCACAGCCTTCACCTTCCTCACAGCCTGTTCAGTCCAGTGAACATCAATACTGCAAGTGCTCAGGGACATCCTTTGAGTCCCGGCTTCTCAGTGTGCATGAATTATTTACATAGTGAAGTAAGAACTTTCTGGTAGTGTTTCAACTTCCTCTACAAGCTTAAATGGGCATTCTGCGATTCAACTAGCCATTATATGTGGAGCAGTGGGGTGGAAAAGGCTTTCAGCTAGCTAGCCCTGTTTCCTGACTTTACCCCCAAGTCTGCTGCCTCAAGAAAGCCATGCCATGCTTTGGGTCTTGGTGTTCTTGTCTCTAAAAGGGGCTGAAGTATACCTAGAAAACTATTCTGAGAATCATTTTGTGCTCACTTCCTTCTACCTGTCTGTCCTCTTTCATGTGTGCATTCTTTCTGAATATCTGTCTGTCTCCCCATCACTTTTACATAATCCCAGTCCTGGATGACAGAAGCATCTAAATCATAAAGCAGACTTGTGACACTTTTATGAATTACCAGCACACAAGCTCCCTTATTCCTGTCATCTAGTTGAGTTTGGCCATTAGGAGGCACCAGCAAAACCCTAGAGATTTTTTATTTTGCCAGCATCCTGCACAGGGTTACTACAAATTGGCTGCACCATTTACTGCCTTATTACTCATAGGTATCTCTGTGTGTTCCCTCTCCCTTCTCTCCTTCAGAGTAAGAGGTAGCAAGTACCCACCTTCAATTGCTGGTCCACAGGTGCTCATTTTTTTTCACAATCCATGTGGGGTTTTTTGCTTCATTTATTTTTGTATTTCAATTTAGTTTATTTGGGTGTGTATGTGTGTGGGCATGCTTTCTTTACCACAGTATGTGTGAAATTCAGATCACTTCTCTTCTTCTATCTTGTGGATCCCAGGGATTACACTCAGGTTATAAGCCTTGGTGGCAAATGCCTTTACCTGCTCAGCCATCTTACCAGTTCCAATGTCCATTGTTTTTTTAATAAATACTTTTTTTTTTTTAGTTTACTTCAGTCATTTCAGCTTCCTAGCAAGAATCTGGCCAATATGCTATACCAACTCAATCTCCTATTTCCCACAATGTTTCCATTAAAATATTTAGCTTCCATCCCTGTATTTCCTCTCATAAGTGATCTATTTGCTCTTAACCACCAGCCACCCCTAAGTAAACATCCATCAGTGAAACCGTTTATTTGCTGGGACAATCAATACTAGTTAGCTGATCTGAGAAACTAATGGTGATCAAGAAGAGAGAGACCAGCATCACTGAGGCTGGATCTTCTGGGAATCGTTTCCTTGTGGTCAAAACATGCAGGCTGTGTTCCAGAAGGTGCACAGGCAGGAGGACACTGTCCTGGCAACTGAAATTGGTAACATAGAAGAGTCTCGGTTTACAGAGAAATCAGGCACTAGGGAAATGTCTGGAGATCTACAAAGATGACACCAGCTAACAATCTAAGCAACAGAGGAGAGGCTACCTTAAATGCCCTCCCCTGATAATGAGACTGATAACTGACTTGTATGCTATCCTATAGCCTTCATCCAGCAGCTGGTGGAAGTAGAAGCAGACACCCACAACTAATCACTTAACTCAACTGGAATCCAGTTGCAGAGAAAGATGAATGATGAGCAAAGGGATCCAGACCAGACTGGTGAAACCCACAGAAACAGCTCTTGGTCCCCAAACTGATAGCTGGGATACCAGCATGGGACTGATCCAGACCCCAGGAGCATGGGTTTCAGTGAGGAGAAATCAGAAATCTACAGGACCTCTTGTAGTAGTTCAGTACTTATCCCTAGCATAGGTGTGGACTTTGGGAGCCCATTCCACATAGAGGGATACTCCTTGAACCAAGACACACTGGGGTGGGCCTATGCCCTATCCCAAAGGATATGATAGACTCTGATGACCCCCTATGGAAGGCTTCACCCTCCCTGGAGAGCAGAAAGGATATGTGATAGGTAGGGTTTTAGTTAGGGGAGGGGGGTGGTAGGGGAGGAGGGGATGGGGAGGGAACTGGGATTGACATGTAAAACAATCTTGTTTCTAATTCAAATTTAAAAAAAAAAAAAGAGTCTTGCAGGTGGTACTGCTTTTGTAGGCATGAATGGGAGTGGAGAGCTGCTGAGTTTTGGCACCAGGAGAGGCCATTGGTTGAATGTGCAGTTGAAGTTGAAGGCCACAGATTGTGGGGGTCATGGGAGAATGTGAGGCATGGCACCATGTGACAAAGTCAGAGTTCTTGAGGAGAGGTGAAAATGTAATTCAGTTGTAGCAGAAATAAAAGTGTTCTTTGAAAAGATTAATGAGATTTACAAACCTTTAGCCAGGTTAACCAGAGAGAAAAAATAGAAGACCCAAATAAATAAAATTAGAGATGATATTACAACAGAAATGGGAAATCCAGAGAATCATAGGGCATATTTTTAAAAATCTATATTATTCCAGTAACCAGAAAATTATTCTAAAAGAAATGGATGACTTTCTAGATGGACATGACCCACAAAAGTTAAATCAAAACAAAATAAATAATTTCAGTAGATCCACAACAACCAATGAGATACAAGCACTAATTAAAAATCTCCTATCCCCCCCCCCAAAAAAAAGTCTCTGGGCCAAATGAACTCAGCACAGAGTTCTATCAAAGAAGCACTAATTCTAACACTCCTCAAGTCATTCTGTGAAATAGGAAAGAAAGGAGCACTTTCTCATTCCTTTTATGAAGCCAGTGTTACACTGACACCAAACCAGACAAAGACCCAACAACATCAAAAAAGAAAATTACAGGTTGATCTCTCTGATGAGCACAAATGGAAAAAAATCTCAATAAAATATTTGCAGACTGAATTCAGGAACACATGAAAAAGATTATCCACCATAATCAAGTTGGCTTCATCCCAGAAATGCAGGGTTGATTCCACATGTATAAATCATAAATGTAACCCACCACATAAATAGACTCCAGGAATAAAATCACATGATCATCTCATTAGTCACAGAAAAGGCATTTGACAGAATCCAGCATCCCTTCATGATAAAATTTCTGGAGAATCTAGAGGTATGGTGGACATATTTCAACATAACAAAGGCAGTACACAACAAACCCATAGCCAATGTCATGCTAAACTCAAAGCGTTTACATTAAAATCAGGAACAAGCCAAGGATTTTCCAGTTTCTCTACTCCTACTCAATTTGGTTCTTGAAAGCTTAGCTAGAGTAATAAGACAAGTAAAGATTAAACACAGAGATAAGTGAGTCATCTTCATCAAAGAATCTTTTTTTTTTTGAGCAACCAATGGAGACTATTACAGAGGTCTACAACCAGTCGAGATGCAGAGAATGAATGACTTTTGGGCTGCCCAGTCCCAGTTGATGCATCTTTGAAAATACATCGCAAGCCCTACACCCAGGACTGGTGGGAAGGTAGACATCACAGGAAAGGCTGTAAAAAGCCAGAGGTCCAGGATGCCCATCACTTCTAAATGTGACAGGGAAGCTGACTCTGTGAAATTTCAACAATATATTTGGCTAAACAAGACCTATGTAATTACATTAGTTGACATACCAGTGTGGATGAAGGAAATTTCTCAAGGCCCACCAATAGACAAAGAACCACAGGTAATCAATTAATGGCTTCTGAGAGGAATAGAATCAGTTTTCTCCAGGGATGAGTCCTTGATAGGTTATCTAATCCTATCTGGTCAGCCCTAAACACATGCATTTAACCAACAACTAAATGGACTCAGTAGATTGTGTGTGTGTGTGTGTGTGTGTGTGTGTGTGTGTGTTATACATATGTAATTATAGAAAAAGGTGCTGGGTGGTGGTGATGCATGCCTTTAATCCCAGCACTTGGGAGGTAAAAGCAAGCAGATATCTGTGAGTTTGAGGCCAGCCTTATCCACAGATTGAGTTCCAGGACAACTAGGGCTATTACACAGAGAAACCCTGTCTTGGGGGGAAAGAAAGGGTCGTGATTCTAAGAAACAGTGGGGGGCAAGGTAGGGGTGGAAACTATAAATAAAATCTACTCATGTATGAAATTAAAAGGAAACAATTTTAAATTAAAAAATAGGAAAATAAATCAAAGTATACTTATCTGCAAACAATATGATTCTATACATTAATGATTCCACTGGAGAACTCCTCCAGCTGACAAATACATTGAACAAAGTGCCAGGGTAGAAAAATCAACACACAAAAATGAGATACCTTTCTGTATAGAAACATCAAACATACTGAGAAATAAATCAAGGAACAATGCCATTCACAATATCTTCAAAAATAAAGAAATATCCCAGGATAAATCTAACCAAGTAAGTGACATATTTGCACAGTGGAAATTTAAGACACTAAGGAAAGAAATGGAAGAAGACACCAGAAGATGGCAAGAGCCACAGGCCCACAGATTAGTAGGATCAGTATTTTGAAAAATAGCCAAAAGCAACTAACAGATTTAATGTAATCCCCATCAAAATTCCAATGCAATTATTCATAGAAATTGAAAAAATATAAAATTTCATATAGAAATACAAAAGTCTCAGCCTAACCAAACAATCCTGACTAATAAAAGAACTTCTTAGAGAGATCACCTTCCTGATTTCAAGTAATTCTCTAGAGTTATAATAATAAAATCATCATGGCATTTCCATAAAAGCAGACATATTGATCAAAGGAATAGTATTTACAGCCAGATATAAGTCTGTATTCCCACAGATACCTTATTCTTAATGAGTAGGCCAAAATACAGATTGGAGTAAAGATACAACACGTGGAGTTTGTCAAGCTGGATAGCTACATGTAAAAGAATAAAACTAGAACCTTATCTCTCACCCTAAACAAAATTCAACTCCAAAATAATCAAGGGTCACTGCATATGCCCTTATACCACAAACTTGATAAAAGAGAAAGTGGGAGATATATTTCAACTTACAGGAGAGAACTTTCTAGACAGGACACTGGCAGCATAGGCCTTAAGACCAACTGACAAGTGGGAACTTAGGAAACTAAATGTTTTGTATAGCAAAGAGCATCATCATTTGTATGAGGAAGCAATAATCCTTACCATCTATACATGTGACAAAAGAATCAGGATCAATAATATACAAAAACTTCAAAATCAAAACACCAAGGAATCAAATAACCCAATTAAAACTTAGGGTGTTTAACTAAACAGTTTTCAAGAGAAGAAATGTATGATTGAGAAATATTTTTCTAAGTTGTTGGCAGCCTTAGCCATCAGAGAAACACAAATTAGAACTACTTTAAGATTTCCTCTTACCCCAGCCAAAATGACAATGACTCAACAACAACAATAACAACAAAATATTTGCATAGATGTGGCAAAAGGGGAACACTTAACCGTTGATGGTAGGAGTGAAAACTGGCATGGCTACCATGGAAATTGGCGTCCAAATGCCTCAAAGACCTAGAAATATATCTACCATATTTTCTATTTATACCCATCCTGCTTGTTCATATAGCCAGAAGGACTCTGCATCCTACCCTAGAGATACTTGCTTGTCCACATGAATGTCTGCTCTATTCACAATAGTTAGGAAATGAAAGCAGCATGAGTGTTTATCAGCTGATGAATGGACAATGAAACAATAGCACACCTATACAATAGAATATTATTTAGCCATAGGAAAAATGAAATCTACAGGTAAATAGATGGAGCAGGAAATAATTTTTCTGAATGAGTCAATTGAGATCCAGAAAGACAAATATCACGCATTCTCTCATATACATGGATACTAGTTTTAAAACTTTTGATATGTGAGTTTAAGTTAGAGAACCCACAGAGGCAATGAATGTGCCAACTGTCTCCCCATCCTTGACTTTGACATTCTGTCTAAAGCCTAGAACATTAATTACAAGGCCACCCAATATGCAATTCTCACCTTTGCTTCATTTCTTATCACTTTTTGCCTTCATTTCACCTTCTCCAGATATAATAGGCTTCCTTACGTCCACTGAATGTACTATACAGCCTTGATTTGGAGAATTAACATACATGACTCATGCCTGCCCCCCATCCCCATTTCAAAGCTGGAACCCATTTCATCAGCTTTCTTTACCTAACCAATTCCTTTTCATCTTTGATGCATTCCCATGAGACCATATACTAGATTTGACTCTCTCTTGCTCTCTCCTATAGTACCCGTGGTTCAGCATTAAATGAAGGTATAATGTGGGCAGAGCTTCTTCCATGGTCCTAGCATAATACCTAAGGCCCAATAATTTACATCTACTTGCTGGACAATAAAACCAACAAGATTATGGCTCAGATGTTCCATTTTGAAGAAGAAACTGAGATCTGAAAAAATTAGGCAACTTAATCAAACAACCAAGCCCAGACTAGATTAATAGAGGCCTGGAGCTCCCTGATTTCTGTATCAGTTGTTTTGTAGTACACCATGTGCT